CCCAGCATGCAGTAGGAAGAGCAGGTACCCCAGCATGTACTAGGAAGAGCGGGTACCCCAGCATGCACTAGGAAGAGCGGGTACCCCAGCATGCACTAGGAAGAGCGGGTACCCCAGCATGCACTAGCATTGTCAGATCATGTCTCCTGCATTGTGGACGAATAAACACTTTGAAACAAGCATCAGCCTGAGGCATACAGTTCCTCACACTTGTCTCACTCCCCACTACCCCCAAGGGCCACACCACATTATTCTCCACCATTCTGGTAGCTAAAAGTCCAAAACTGAGGTGTCTTCAGATCTGTGCTGCCATGGGAGATTCTAAGGGACCATCTATCCTCACTTCAGCCTATGGTGGCTGTGATGGTTTGAATGAGAATGGCCCCATAGTTTCATGTATTTGAATACTTGGGCCCCAGTTAGTGGAACTGTTTGGGAAGGATGAGAAGGTGTGGTCTTGTTGAAGAAGGCCTGTCACTTGGGGTAAGCTTGAGGTTTCTCTCTCTCTCTCTCTCTCTCTCTCTCTCTCTCTCTCTCTCTCTCTCTCTCTCATGTCTGTGGATCAGAATATGAGCTCTCAGCTACTGCTCCAGCACCATGCCTGCCTGCTTGTTTCCACGCTCCACGACATGATGGTCATAGACTGTAGCCCTCTGGAACCATGAGCCCCAATTAACTCCATTTTTTATAAGTTGGCTTGGTCATGATGTTTCTTCACAGACCTAGAAAAGTCTCTGAAACAGCAGCTCCAAGGTCAGCATGTAGGGCACAGAGCCATTCTGTCTCCAAGTCCCCATGGCAGGACCCACACATCTGTCTCCTTGTAGCGAATTAGTTATAGTTGAGTAAGACCCTTTCTAATGACCTGATCTGGACCCAATCACTTCTGCAAAGCATGTCCCAGTCATGGTAGGCTAGTACTCGAACATGTTTGTGTGGAGCGGTCTGCCCCACTAAAGGCAGGCCTGTGGCTCTCTTCCCTTTGCCCAGGATACCTTCTCCTGGACCCCTGTGGGACTCCCTGTGTCTCCCTGTGGACAAGCCTGGGGCTTTCCAGTGCCTCCAAGGACCGATAGCTCCTGGTGTCACCTCTTTGCTCCTCTTCCCCAGCTCTCTGCCTCTCTCTGCTGCTTCTGCCATTGACTAGGTGGCCTCTCGCCACCCCAGGCACACTTCTCCAAGTGTCCCCTGCCTCCCGTCCCCTTCCAGGCTTTGCTCACAGGTCACCCTAATCCACCCTCTTTGCCTTTCCTGCTCTTTTATTGCTCACAGCATTGGTCACTTGGAGTTCGCAGCGTGACACGTTCATCTGCAGTGTCTTCTCTTCAAAGTGTCTTTCCCATGGTGTGAACATCGGCCCACGAGGGCGTGTTCACGGACACACTAGCTACTTACAGCATAAGCCTCTGTGGCCATGCGGTGGTTGGTTGATGCTTGTTTTTCCATGCCTTCCAAACACATATTCTGAATCTGTCAACTATTTTGGAGGATATGCCCCCTTAAAAGAACACGAACCTCTGTTTTTTGGTTTTGGTTTTTTTTTTTTTTTATTCAAAATGAAGTACTCAGCCATACATGGGATTTAACAACAAAACACTCAAGTTAAAAAAAAATAAACTAAAACAAATGTTATGAGGTCAAGCTGGAGTATGTTATTTTTGTCAAAATAAAGAAGGTTTATAGATTTTTTTAATGTGGAAATTGCTGGTGAAAAGTTTACTTGGCACCCTTTCAAAGGTTGTTATCTATTAATTAATTAACAATTATTGTTAAGAGGCTGTTGTTTGCTTTGGAATCAATGTGGTGCGTGTCACAGTACTTACTAGGGATAAGTCAGACAGCCACGCTTCATAGCAGGCTCTCTTGAAGCACTGGTTATTTTTTAAGCTCAGCAAAAACATCGTTAGGAATATCTCTGCAGCTCTGTAACTATACACATTTCGGGCAAATACGATGGGCACAAATTCCAACAGGAAGCAGAACATGGAAAATAGATAGCATTGAGCATTTGCAAAGTCACATCCCACTAAAGTGTTGCCAGAATAAGTGGGTTCCTGCAGGGAAATTTTTATCTCTCCTAGACTATTTGAAGTAAATGGATTCAGCTGAATAAAGGATGTGGTTTAAAATATTAGGACTAGTCCCTTCTTTCAGCCCCATTCTATGTGGGAGACACGCTAATAACAGGTTTTATATGAATGCATTGAAGGGCTGCATTGGAGATGATGTCCCTTTCAGTTACCAAGATCCTGACAGGTGGAGGAATGTGCCTTCCTATTGCATTATTGCAGATGCAGCTTTGCAAATGCATTGCGTATGGGCAAAACGTCGCTTGAGAATACAATGAACAAGATGTGCATTTGACTGGCTTGCGCTGTCCGTTATTGGGTGCCCAGCCCAACCCTGAGCTCTGGGGTCAGTTGGAACAGATTTCCTCAGGTGCAGCCAGCTGCCTGGCACACACCAGCATAAAAAAAAGATGACCTGAAGGTGTGGGGCAGGCTGCATTTGTGACTCCCTCGGCAGAATGGCTCGACGTAGGCGCAGCCCCTTATGGCTGGTTGTGCAGTGTTTATCATGGCAAGTAGATTCTTCCATCACAGATGTTAAAACTTACATGGAGATGGTAAATTATATCAACAGTACTTTCCCAGGGACATGGATGGACAGTGTAGATGGGCCTTAGAGTCCAATGGGAAATTCCTTGTTGAATATTTGTGCTCACAGCCAGACTCAATCATCGTTTATCTTGGAAGGCTCCTATATGATAGCTGTTTATACAATTTGGCAAATCATACAGTGTGTCTAGCAAAAGCAACTTGAAGTCATCATTTTGTTTTGCTTACCTGAGGCCAACTTCTCCAAATATGAACTGCCACGCACACAAATATCACACACCTGTATGATCCCGTGTGTGCACATAGGTGAATGTTCCAGAGATTAAACACTGAGCATCTTCCTCGACTGCCCCCCACTTATTCATGTTTTATTTATTTTTGAGACAGTATCTCCCACTGAATTGAGAGCTCACTGATCGGCTAGACTATTTAGCAAATAAGCTCTCACGATCTACCTGTCTCCACCTTCCAGGCCTGGAATGACAGGTGCGGCCCACTGCACCCAGTTTCTTATGTGAGTGCTGGGGACTGAACTCGGGTGCTCAGGCTTGCACATGGAGCACTTGACCCACTGAGCTACTGTCTCAGCATTCTTCATCTTCTCGTGGGAACATTCTGCAAGTCCTATCAAATCAGAACAGAAGGTCGTTATCAACCAGCACACTCACCTACCTAGGACGTTATTTGCTTGCACGTATTCAAAGCAAGCTCTGTAAGTAACTGAGTAAACACGTGCTCGTGAGGTAAATGAAGCAGGGTGCGTTCTTTTCATCTGATGATGTGTGTGCGTGGTGAGGAGGGCTTTGTTCAACGTCAGGCATTGTAGTGCAGTGAGGAAGCCCAGTACAGGCAGTTCTGGCAGGGTCTGACCTGTGGTCGGTGCCTGTGGGGATTTAAGGATTGCAGCGGTCCTCAAGAGTTCAGTATGCTCACATTTCCTAACTCTGTGACCTTGAGCAGGTTAGTGACCTATCAGACTGTCGTTCTTCTCTCCATCCATTAAACTTGTGCCGGGCGGTGGTGGCGCACGCCTTGAATCCCAGCACTCGGGAGGCAGAGGCAGACGGATCTCTGTGAGTTTGAGGCCAGCCTGGTCTACAGAGCGAGATCCAGGAAAGGTGCAAAGTTACACAGAGAAACCCTGTCTCGAAAAAAAAACAAAAAAAAAAAACAAAAAAAAAAGTTAAACTTGTATGTGTACGGCGTCGAGTGTATAATTGGCTCAGTACCAAATACATGATGGTGTCTTAAGACTGCACAGAAGGTGTGAGCCTCATTTCTTACACTTGTGTGTTAAGACTTTTGGAATTTGGGGGTGGCAATTCCATCACACATTCATATAACAGAGGTCTTGATGCTGTAGGTGTGTGCACCTATAGATGTATATAACACATATGACATTTGGTGCAGACTGATGGGGGACACCCTACTGTGTGCAGGTCTGCGTCCGTTGATATTAGGGAAATGGTCCTGATGTGACTGAAGACTGGACACTGTAATCCTCTGTGAGGTTTCAGCATCACACACCTGGAAACCTCTGTCCAGACATGAGTGACTGACTGTTCTTGGCTTTAGAGGTCCTCAGAGGGAAGATCAGCACCAGCTACAGAGTCCCTGTGAGCTCCGGGGGGCGGGGGTGTCTCAGTTCAGAGTCCTCCTCCCACAACCCCAAGGCCACAGGGCCTGAGCTGTTTTTAGATCAAACTTTGAAAGAAAAAAAAGGTGGCTCTATCTCTTTATGATAAGCATGCCTCAGGGCCCCAGAGGAAGTATGAAAGTTCACTGGTATGTTTAAATTGAGTCTCCTGAGGATCAAATGAGAATTGTCAGAAAATTGGTTTTGTTTGGATGTAAAGCAGTATTCTTGCTTAAATTAAACACTTTAAGGCATTCCTCTATTTATCAGAATCCTTAATTAAAAAAAAAAAACCACCCCAGTGACTCTATTAATTGGGCAGCAGGCAAGGTATAGTCATGGCTCAAGTTTTTAAAAGTATTAAGCATACTTGTCGACAAACATTTTTCTTACTGCCAGGACTCAGTGGCTTTAACGCTACTCAAAGGCTCATAAATTACTTAAAAGTGTGTGTTCTGCACTTTTCCCCAGAAATCTCGGTGGACGGCCATGTAAATGGGGTGTAGCGTTGATGAATTACACCTTTCCTCCTGATGCAAGGCTGAGTTTCCTATTATTAAATGGTCATGTGCCAAGACGCTCAGTGGCCTGATGGTCAATTAAATTTCAAAGGACTTCAAAGGCCAGGCGCAGCCTTTTCCCCTTCTTTCTGGACGCCTTAATAGCAACGGTCTCGAATTCCTTGGAAAAATTAAAATGCAGTTCATTTGCAGTCAGCGCTGGGTAATTATAAAATATTGTTCTGCAATTCCTTTTAAGAAGGGAACTTCATTCTAAGGAGCAGATGTGACAGTCACCGGAGGGCTGGTACAATGAGAGGTAACAATGGCTTTGCTAACATTGTCAAGAAAGCAGCAACTCCGCTGGCTGTGCAAGATATTTTAATTCAGCTCCATTGTTTCCAGGGCAGATTTGCATATCTCAGAGGGGAAAACTCCACCCGTGAGTCCTGTGCCACAGGCATAAATCTTACAGGGCATGTGACTGCTGTAAACAAAGGAGACCACTGGTGAGGGCTACTCTCTGGGAAGTCACTCCTCGGAGGGGAGCTGGGATTTTCCACTGCCATGCGCTGTCACTCTCTTCACACTGCCCTTTAGTCTCCTGGAGGGAAAAGTACCCAGAATTCCTGTTATGATCCAAACAAACCCATGGAGGAAGATCCCCAGCTGCTGCTGCTGCCCACCCTGCGGTGCCCAGACCATTAGAGGGACAGTGTGGACTGAAAAGTATCTGGAAGCACAC